GGTCCAACCAGAGCTTTGGGGTCAGCTGTGAGTTTTAAGAAGGTGCTCAGTGGGGATGGAGAGATGGCTCAGTGGTTAAGAGCACTGGCTGCTCTTGCAGAGCACCTGGGATGAGTTCCCAGCACCCACATGGAGGCTAACAACTGTCTATATCTCCAGTTCCAGGGGCTCTTACTCCTGCTTCTGGCCTCCACTGGCATTGCACACACAGGTGTACTTGCATATATGCAGGCAATGCATTCATACACGTAAAATAAAAATAATAGATGAAATATTCAAAAAAGAAGGTGCTCAAGCAATTGTCGTTATTGTTGTTGCAGAGAAAGGGTCTTACTCTGTAACCCAGGCTCCCCTGGAGCTATGTAGCCCAGGCCACCTTCAAATTCAAGGCAGACATCTTGCTTTAAGCTCTTGAATGCTGAGATTGCAGGCATAAGCCATCATGATTGGCTTTAAGCTACTCTTATTCACGGGAAATCTGAGAGTATCTCCATGGTAGATGGAGAGGTAGAAGGGTGGGAAATGTTTTCTAGATTACTTAGCACAAGGGTCTGTCCTATAGCAGTGATTTAACTGATGAAAGCATCAGACAAATTTCCTGCTAATATACATGCTTTGGGGCTGGAGAGATGATGCAGTGGTTAAGAGCAATGGCTGCTCTTGCAAAAGACTTGGGTTTGATTCCCAGCACCCACATGGGAGCTAGCAACCATCTGTAACATAACTCCAGTTCTAGGGGATCCAAGACCTTCTTCTGATCTCTGAGGGCATTGCATGACATAGGTGTACTTACACACATGCAGGCAATGCACTCATAAAATAAAAATAATAAAAATAAAATAAAATAAAAAACATGCTTTATGGGAAAAAAGCAAGTCCTTTTTGAATGAATAAACAGAAGCAGGTCTATAGGCTGTTTATTTCATCAAAGACTTCCTTTAGCTATCCTGCATTCATGTCTCATGTCTTCTGGCTTAGCTATTCAATCCTATTTTGTGTTTAAAATATGTGAATGATTATTCCATTACGAGTCAGGTTTGTTACGGTGGGCTTTAAAAAAAAATCTCATGTATATCTCTTTTTCTGAACCTGAACAGTACTTTTTGGGTAAAATTTGGCCCTTATTATTACTATTATTTTTTTTTCAGCTGTCAAATGTACAAGGTGAAGAGAAATTTTAGTTAGATGGGAATACACCTGGAAAATCAATTTTCCGAATTCCATATACACATCTCAAAACTGCTGGGTCCCAAGTACATTTATGAGCTCCAGGGCTGTCAGGTTCATGTGCACTGCATTAGGCTTCCTGCCTAATAGTTTAATTACGTTAAAAACAGGTGAAGCAACGTGTCAGTCTGTAACAGTCTGTGCACTTTAACTGAACATGACAAAATGTTCACTCTTTTGAACTTTACATCATTCTTTGATTACATATCTTTATTATCTTTTTAAAAAAAACACATTGACAGCTGGGTGTGGTGGTATATACGCCTGTAATCTAGTGCTTGGGAAGTGGAGACAGAAGGATCAGGAATTTTTGGTTATCTTTGCCCACATAGTAAACTGGAGGCCAGCCTGAGCTACAAGAGACCCTGTCTCAAGCAAAAAAGAAACAAACAAAACAAAATGTTGATAGCATAGACAATGAATTTGTACCTTTTTTTTTTTTTTTTTTTTGATACAGGGTCTGCTGAAGGTCTAACTGTACTCCAACTTCTTATGTTGTTGAGGATGACCTTGAACTTCTGATCCTCCTGCCTCCATCTTCCAAATGCACTATCATCAAGCTTTCTTTAAATATCCCTTTATGAATCATCATGCCTGATTTATGAGGTGCTGGGAATTGAACCCAGGACTTCATACATGTTAGGCAAACATTCTGCCAACGAGCTGTGTCTGCAGACCGGGACTGACATTTTTCTTTTTTTAACTTTTATGTCTACGAGTGTTTTGCCTGCATGTTTGTAAGTGTACCCGAAGATGCCTGCAGAGGCGAGAAGAAGGCATTGGAGTCCGTGGAACTGGAGTTATGGACTACGGACAGTTGTTAGCTGCCATGTGGGTGCTGGAAACCCAACCTGGGTTCTCTGCTCATAAATGCCAGTGCTTGTAAATGCTGAGCCATCTCTCCATCCCCTGGGACTGTCATTTTTAAGTCTAGTCCATGGTATAGTTTTGAAAACTATCATTTTTATCAGTTCTATTTTCTCACAGGTTGTAGGGGATTATAATATTTCATAACTTTTCTGTTACTATTAATCTATGACCTTGATAACCCTTTTGTTAATTTGCATGGCATTTTGGGGCTGGAAAGATGACTCAGCGGTTAAGAGCACTGACTGCTCTTGCAGAGGCCCAGGGTTCAATTCCCAGCACCCTTAACTCCAATTCCTTAACTCCAGTTCCTGGGGAATCCGAAGCCCTCTTCTGACCTCCCTGACACAGGTGCACTCACATACATGTAGACTACACTCATTCAGATAAAATAAAAATAATACATAAAATATTTTTAAAAATACATGGCATTTCACATTTGGCTTCTAACTCTTTTCCTACATTGTTAAAGCAGAAAAATGACTGTACAGACCAGTCTTAAAATGTCAACCATCAACTTGCTGCTTTTGATCCTAGTCTGAAACCTACTCGCCCCTATATTTTTCTTTCAGCAAGATGAATTTGTAATTCTGGCCAAGGCACAAATTTGCCTAAGATTTATAGCCTTTATGAGTCAACAATCTTTTATAATGATAATGTTAGAAGTCAAGATTGACACAGGCAGGCCTTCTAGGTAAACAATGTTATAATTTGCTTTTCTTGCTATGTGTAGTCATTACATTTCAGGGTGCTCATTTAAACAGACGTTTTACTAGTTGATGCAATCAAGAAGTTAACTATATTTTTATGGACTAAGGAACTCATTATCAACTTTGAGAGGGTCCCCTTGGTTTTGAGTTACAAGGTTTTCGGGAACAGAGGTTCCATCCCTCTTTCTGCTTCTTAACCCACCTCAAGCGTTGCTTCTTGTCACGTGGTAACAATTTGGTTCATTCTTGCCTACACTATTTACCACACTAAAAAACACCCAACATCACTTTCAAAACAAAGTTGCTAAACTCGAATAGTTTGTTCCATTCTTACAATGTTGTTTGTCCTTCTCTAGAGCCAAACCATAAATAAATATTTGCTAGTTTGTATTGATTGAATGATTAACGTAAACAGACAAGCCAGATAACCCACAGGAGAAATGCAAACAGCAGAGTGTTGGAAACCCCAGCTCCCTCTAAAGGGGACTGACGAGTCTGTTGTCAGCCTACTTTGCAGTTTTGGTTTTTGGCATTATTTATTTATTTATTAATTAATTAATTTAATTTTTTGAGACAGAGTCTCTCTGTAGCCCTAGCTGGCCTGGAACTGCTATGGAGACCAGGCTGATCTCCATCTCACAGAGATCTGCCTGCTTCTGCCTCTCCAGGCATGCTTCACCACACCTGCAATTCACTTTGGGAAATGGATTCTGAGTGCTTAGAGTTTATTTTCCAAAAGATGTCAGAAATTCGGGCTTTTAATGCTGTGAACACTTCTTGGAAGCCCAAGCAGCTGCCTGCATTGAACCTGGAAGCTCTACATTAAATAAAACATAATAAAACACACCGCTTGCTCTCAGTGAGCCTGTCTGGGTTCACATCAGGGGACATTGCTGTCTATGTAGGCGAACTTGGGCAATTTAATCTCTAACAAACTGTTTCTGCATCTGAAAGGTGGCCACACTTGCCAGGGTTATATTGAGGACAAGATGAGAAAATTAAAGCTAAAAAGTCTTTAGCATGAATGGCCTTCAAGCCTGTTAACAATGAGAAATGACACTATTCTAAGTAACAGACTTATTTGAGCCCGAGCCAGCCACCCAGCCAGCCAGCCAGGGAGCAAATAACTTCATGTTCTCAGAGACCTTGTCTTCTTCCACAAAAGAGGTGAATATTTCTTATATCATGGCGACCCCTTCTTTTGTGCAATATCCAGAGCTCCAGAGGAAATGAGTTCTGATTTTTAGCTATTACAGTCTGGAAAAACCAGCTCGAATACTCCACTCCAGGAACAGTGGCCTGCCCAACGCGGACGCTATCTTCTGCTTGATCTTCACCTAACAAATTTGCAGTAACTCCGCAATTTTCCCAGAGTTTTATTTTATTCTCCAACTTGGGGACTTGTTTCACGTGGCCTCTGTAAGATATCTTTTCACTTCCCTGGAACTATCCACGCTCATGAATTCGAAAAGTTTTTCTTTTCCGGGGTTGTTTACATTGGCCTCTAATTGCCAGCGTTTAATGAGGACCCAGCGCCTGGCGTCTCCCGCTCTCAACCTGCTTCCCAGAGAAACTTGTCCCTAGTCACTCCAGTCTCCGTCATAGGGGCAGCAGTTGACTGGACCTGGGGTGTTTGCAAATTCCCAAATCTGATCCTTTCCTTCCACCCCCGACTTTTAAGAAAGCAATGTGGGGGTGCCCCCGCGGAGGCTCGGTGCCGCGCAGGTCTCCCGCAAGTCCCAGCAGGTTGCGCTGGGGGTGGGTTGGGGGCGCATCTGGGACTGTCGGGCGGGGAGCTAGTCTTCACTCCCCAAGCCAAATCGGCTCATGGGGAGGAGACAGGGGCGGGGACGGGGGCGTGCCCGGTGGCAAGTTTCCCTACGTCACCGGGGAAGTCCCCCATATGATCGGAGAGCGGGCTCTGAGCGCCAGACTTTAGAGGACTCCGACTGCAGCGGGTGCCAAACGTTGGGAGCTCTGTGCGTCCGGGTGGCGAGACAGGCCGGTCCATCCCGCGCAGCCCGAGTCCTACTGAAAGCCGAGTGCTCGGCTTGGGGACCACAGCCCCACCCCCACCCCCCCGCCCCCCACCCTCTCGTGTGCAGCAGCGATCGCAGCCGCGCTTTGTGAGATGCCCGGGAGCGAGGCGCGTCAGAGCGCGCCATCGAACGCCACGCGGGCAGGTACCCACGAGCTGCGGCCCGCGGACACCCAGGACGGAAGGGGTCGAGGTCTGGGTGGAGGTTGAGGTCACGGTCAGGGCGGTTTAGCCCTTCTAGGCTCGGGCCCGAATGCTCGTGTCCTCTGGCTCGGGCCAGATCGGCTCCTTGGCGCGTGCCTTGGAGATGCGTCTAGAAAGTTCTTCAGAGGGTTCTACCAAGACTGCGTGCCGCCGGGGGACAGCCCAGCTTGCCATTGGGATGCAGGTGCATTTTAGGCCAGAAAGCTGCCTCTCTTGTGTCTCCACCTTCTCTCTTCTTGCTTTTTCTGGGGGCCAGGAGGAGGGAAAGTGGTAGTGCAGGCGGTGGTTCCCGGGGGTGTGTTCGCGGTAGGTGGGAGTGGGAGAGGCCTCAGGAGGCTCTAGGCCTACCTCTTCCCGGGACAGGCCCTCCTGTTCCGAAGTCCATCTCAGAGAGCCCTCCTTGATTTCATTTCCACTGCCCCACTTCCAACACTGAAGAGCAGTGGTCCAGCTTCACACTGTCCCAGCTTGTCCATACTGAACGACTGGAAGCATCTGGAGGCCCGGCGGAGTCTCCAGAGTGGAAGAGCCTAGGAGGCCTTCCTTTAACTGTCTAAATTGGGAAGGAAGGGAAGTTTAGGGGAATAGAATTTAGTCCTCGATTCCCTTTTTTCATCTCTTAATCCCTCTTTCCTCAGACACTCAAATGCAACTCCCACCCAACTGTTAAGGTTGGCTTTCCCCTCCCCCATTTTAAAATAAATCTTAAAGGCGGCAGACAGTTACCTTCGGGGCTGCAAGGAGGCCGGAAATACTCTGTGGGGCACAGTGGTATTACATCAGACAGTTGTCACCCCCTTTCTCCTATTATTTTATAAGGCCTGTGGGCAAGGCAAAAGTTGTGTATTGCAAGTACCAATTAGCTGGCATAGGCTACTCTTTCTGGCTCTTGCTTAGGTGGAGGAACATTGTTCATCTTCTTTGGTTTTTTTTTTTTTTCGTGTCTAAGTGTACTGACCCTGGTTCTGAAAGGTCTGACATGTGCATGGCACTGTCTGAATAGACTTACCTAGTGCCCAAGGAAAAGGAACAGCAGGAATTCTCTAAAGTGCTGTTAGATAGCAATACATTTGTAAATGTGTAACTTCAATAAAATAAGGTGCCAGGCATGTTGGTGCATGTTTCTAATCTCAGTGTTCCATAAGGCTAAGGCAGGAGAATTTAACTGGGCTGCATAGTTCAAGGCCAGTCTGGGTTACCTGACTCAAACCCACCCCTTCCAAATTAAGGTAACTAGGACTGGGGTGGGGCTCAGTGGTAGAGCAGTTGCCCAGCATGTGTGTGGCCCAGGGTTCAATGATCCCCAGCACCTAGCAAAAAGAAGGAAAATGACTGGGACCTATTATCTGTCACCCTCTTTTTGTTAAAACACTGATCCTCCTCCCTGCCCCCAGAAATCAGGACTTCCCAAATTGTATGATGCATTTTTAAGGACTGTATGTTTATATCTCACCTTAAAGAATGTTTCATAAATAATTTTTCAAAATTCCATTAAAAATGGCATACTACAAGATTTATGAGGCCTCCTGGTTTCAATCATTTGTTGAGGAGAGAAATTGGCCTAAATGTAGGTTTAAGAGCTTACTTTACTATGCATTTACAGTTTACTCATTTATTTCAAGCCTAAGTATCATCTTACTTACAAAACAGGCCAGGTTTTTAATTTGTGTTCATGATGGTTTTTCGTGGTTATGGTTTTGAAGTGGACCAGAGCAACCCGAGTTGGACTTTGAAATATTAAAAAAATAAGAAGTAAGCCGGGCGTGGTGGTGCACGCCTGTAGTCCCAGCACTTGGGAGGCAGAGGCAGGCGGATCTCTGAGTTCAAGGCCAGCCTGGTCTACATAGTGAGTTCCAGGACAGCTGAGGCTACAAGGAGACCCTGCTTCAAAAAGACAAAAAATAAAATAAAATAAAATAATAGAAGTACATGGATCTCATGTTAATTTTATTTGTGGCATTTTCTTAGTAAGCTAATTGTAGTACCTTAATTCTGAAAGGTAGTAAATGTGAATTAAACTTATCTTCTGCTTAAAAGGCCATGAACTGGTAAATATTAGGCTTGCAAGAAGATGCTGGTTTAACTCTAAAATATTTAGGGAGTGTGAACTTAATTTTGGATTAAAATTCCGAGTTTGAGGTAAGGCTTCACTATGTATCTTGGCTGGCCTGGCACTCACTATGTAGATCAAGCAGGTCTGGAACTCAAAGATCTATCTTGCTTCTGCCTCCCAAGTGCCAGAATTAAAGGCATGTGCTGCCATGTCCAGCTGTTTTATGAGTCTTATGAAAAAAATATCAAGAGGTTTTTTAAAGGAGGCATAATTGAGCAATGAAATACTGCCATTGGAAAAGCAGTTCTACTTATAAAAAGTTTTAGAATTTATTTTCTGTTCCGTGGCCCATCCTAAATGAGAAAAAAAGAAAAAGGTGATCTCACAGTGGGCGGATTAAGTTGTTAACCATGTTGTCTGCAGTATCTTTGTGAAGATAACACTTGCTTCATCCAGGATATTAAAACAATTTTTTTCAAAGTAAATGTCTATATTCGTAACTTTTTTGTTTGTGAGTCACCATGAGTTGGCGTGTGGGTGTACATGTTATGTTTTTCTCACACTTGGGAAACAGGTGCACCCAAAGCTAAAGTGAAGAGAAAACATCCCTGTTGCTGGTCTTGTCATTTAGGCCGGCTGTCACCTAGGTGGGCGTGCCAACTCGCTGGATTGTTGTCAGTATTAATTTCGAGGGTTTCTTTCCTTTTCAGAGCTAGAGTTGGAGTGTGCCGCTCAGCTTAGGAGAATTGGAGATAAACTGAATTCCACTGGGCGTGCTGCTGACATCACAGCAGTGCTAGCAGAGATGCCCGGAAAGAAGGCTCGGAAGAGCGCGCAGCGGAGCCCGAGCCCTGCGCGGTTGCCGGCAGGTAAGGAAGGACCCTGCCGTGGAGCGCGAGACCCTGGGCGGCCCTGGTCGGTCCGTTGGGGCTCGCGATGGCTTCAAGGTCAGGCCCCACTGTCGCGAGCCCTAGAACACCCTTATGAAGTACTTGAAGGAGTAGCTTGCAATTTATCCAGGCCAAAAAGCTGCTTTCTCCTTTAGCCTTAACTTTCCATTTTTCTTTTTCTCTTTTTAAAAATATTTTATTTATTATTTTTGTTTTATGTATGTAATTGTATTGACTGCATGCGTGTAAGCGCACCCGTGTCGTGCAGTGCCCACAGAGGTCAGAAGAGGGCGTCAGCTCCCATGGAACTGGAGTTAGGATGGTTGTTAGCCTCCTTGTGGGTGCTGGGACTCGAACCCTGGTCTTCTGCAAGAGCAGTCAGTGCTCTTAACCACTGAGCCATCTCTCCAGTCCCTTCACTTTTATTTTTCATTCCACTTTTTTTTCTATCTTTGCAGAGCCAGGGCAGAAAAAGTGCAAGTACAAGGGACACTATTGTCTTGGAGAAGGGTTCCCCAGTCACTGCACCAGGCAGGTGGTTTTCCTAGGGGACTCCCTTCTCTGAGGACTTAGAAATTTCTTGTCACTAAGGAAAGCAAAGTTTAAGGTTCTTGGAGTGGGTCACACAGGGGGACAAATGGAGGTTTATGGAGACCCCGCTGGGACACCTGAGTTACCAACCCAGGAGGCCTTCCTTCTTACTTAGCATTTTAACTGTCCATCCATTATGAAGAGGGTGGGGGAGGGGTGGGATTCTGGAGGGGCATGCTCTTTTTCCCTTCTCCTCCCCCCCTCCGGGGGGCGGGGGCAGCGGCTGGATGCTTGGATGTCTCCTGGGGTCCTATTTGCTAGTCAATCAGACAGTTGCAAGTCCCCTCTTCCCTTACTCCCGTTCCATAGCCAGTAGCCATGTAGCCATGCTGAAACAGCTGCTTCACCTATGTGACCACGGCTTCATTGGCCCTAGGTCACCTCTCTCAGCTACTTGCTCTTTCTTGAAACCCAGGAATTCTGATCATATCTCTGAAATGTCTAATACTCGCATGGTAATGCCTGAACAGACTAGTTCCAAGAAAGTCCTCTTGAAAGATAATAGTTCCTGTACAGATGTGTCACTGTAACAAAATTTCAGAAGCACCTGGAAGCTGTTTTCTTTGAGAATTTTTTCCTCATCAGTTAATTCAGAACTTCACAAATGGGATGCTGTGTTTCTTTTTGGTTTTTGTTTTTTTCAGTAAAGGACTCACTATGTAGCCGAGGCCTGGAACTTGCTGTGCAGACCAGGCTGGGTTTGAAATGAGACTCCTTTGGTCTCTACCTCCCTGGTGTTGGGACTTAAAGCTAGGATTAAAGGCATGTACTTTTTGTTTGCTTTGTTTTGAGACTGTGTCTCTTAGCCCAATCTGGCCTTGAACCTGCTGTGTAGCTGAAGATGACCTTGAGTTTCTGATCCTTCTTTCTATCTAGAGTGCTGGGATTTCAGGCTTGTGTGTCACCAGTCCCGGGTTTGGAGCCTAGGGCCCCATGCATACTAGGCAAACACTCTACCAATCCAGTTACATCCTTAGCCTGATTTTTTTGTTTAAAAACTATATGCTAATACACCCCACTTAGTGAAAAGAAAATGTCTTTGTATTTCCCTCCTTTTCAGCCTGTACCACAAAGACACATTGACAAATTTGTTAGGTTTCTTGATAGTGGTTAAGGAAGATTATGTTCACCTTGCTGACTGAAATGTAGGGCTGAATATTTATATGCTTTTCTGCATATTTATGGCTCACATTTATTTTGAGCCATAATAGGATCTTTGCAAAGTCTTTTTTGTTGTTGTTTTGATTTGGTTTTTTGAGATAGGGTCTTCCTGTAGCCACAACTGGCCTGGAACTTGCTATGTAGACCAGTCTTACCTCCCTCTCACAGAGATCCACCTGCCTCTGCCTCCCATGTGCTGGGATTAAGGGCATGTGCTACCATGCCTGCTTTGCAAAGTCATTTTTAAAAACCCTATCAGATTTACATTCAGTGCATAAGCTTTACTTGGAAACCTGATTTTTAAACTTTTTTTGTTTGTTTTGTTTTTTGAGACAGAGTCTTACTATGTAGCCTTGGCTAGCCTGGAATTCTCGGTGCAGACCAGGCTGGCCTCAAATCACAGAACTCACAGAGATCTGCCTAGGCTTCCTAAGTGCTGGGATTAAAGGCATGCACTACCACACTCAGCTAAAAGCATTCTTTTTCTTGACACTATGTCACTGTACTTCAATTTTTAAAAAGTAGTAAATATGGGAATCAAAGTTTCTCAGTTAAGACAATGGATTGATATAAATAAGGCTTGTAGAAATAAATTGGCTTGGATTAAAATATCAACTTAAGAATTATTTTAATTATTTTAGGAAGCCAGACTATAATTCTAGCACTCCCTCTCCCTGAGAAGAAAGGCAGGAGAATCAGGAATTCAAGGTCATTCTCAGCTTCATGGCAAGTTTAAAGCCAGCCTCAGCTATGTGAGACCCTGTTTCAAAACAAAATATTAGATTATAGACTTAACTATAGAATAAAGTTTTTATAAAAATATTTATTATTTTATGTGTATGAGTGTATTGCCTGCATGTATGTGAGTGCACCCGTGTCCTGCAATGCCACAGAGGTCAGAAGAGAGTTTCAGATTCCCCTGGAACTGGAGTTAAGGACAGTTCATAGCCACCATGTGGGTGCTGGGAATCAAACCTGGGTCCTCTGTGAGAGCAGTCAGCGCTCTTAACCACTGAGCCATCTCTCCAGCCCTAGAATAAACTTTTATGACTCTTACGGAAAAAAGTTCCTTAAATGAGCAAAAGAAATGAATGTCTAGATTCTTATCCGATCTGTGTGTTGTTTGTAACAATAGGTTAGTATGTGTGTGTATGTTCTAAGTACCATTTTCTTATGTTGGGAAACAGGTGCACTGAAGTTTAAGAAGTAGTGTATGGGCCCCTCCCCCGGCTTGTCCCTCAGTGTGTTAAAACTTGCTGGGTTATAGTTGGGGCTGTTGTCCATATTAACTTGGAGACTTTACTTTTCAGATCTGGAAGCTGAGTGCGCTCAACTGAGAAGAATTGGAGACAAACTGAACTTTCGGCAGAAACTTCTGAATTTGTTCTCCAAACTCTTTAATTTAATAACCTGAGCTCTTCAGACCTTTTGGAAAGAAGGGACTCCTGGAAAGGAAGTCTCCCCGCTTGTTACACACTTCTGTTATAGGAGGGACTGCAGTGTAAGAGGGAGGAGTGTGAAGGAATGCTGGCTTGCTTTGGTTCCCTTCAGTAGGGATGATAAAATTAGATGAAAATGGATTTCTGAGGAAGGCGTCTCAGAAATCATTCTTTGAGATATGAGAACATGAAACCACTTTGCTTATTTAAAAGAAGGACTAGAAAAGCCCTGGAAATAGGGAAGTGATTAGTAATACATTTCTGTTTTGCTAAGATAATTGATAAATGCAGAAAAATTTTATTTTTGCTGAAAGTTCATGCCCAGAGGGCTTGACAGATGATTATGTCGGATGTGGGGAAGAAATGGTTAAGTACGTGTTTTTGTTTTTCAGTAACAACTCCAGAGCAATGTATAATGTTTGGTTTTATATGCATAACTTGGTAAGAGGAAACATTTCATTTTGATAACACTGAATGTCATTGTGAATATTGATTTCATAGGTCACTACAAACTCAAATTGTATTGTTTCTGTTTAGATGAATTAAGTGTTTTAAGTGTGTTACTGTAGGCATTAACTGGAAAGTATGGAAAACTAGGAAGTAACTTTGAAAAAACTTAAATAGAAGTATGGCAGGATTACTTGGAGCCAGTAAAACTCTTGAAGACAGAATATTAAATGATAAAGAACATTGCCATTTTATATCACTTGAGACTATGTAACTATAAGTAATAAGTAACTTTAAGTTGATACAATTAAGGACTAGTAAGAGATACTCATAAGAAGGTTCTGAAAGTTTATAAAATACAATAGAGTTTCATGAATTTCATTTTTAATCTAGGCTATATGCTTGAAACTCAAACTGTTCAATAGCAACAAAATCCTATTAAACACTTGAACAGATATTCCTGAAAAGACACACTGATGTTCAACAGGTAGATGATTCAGCAAAATATAAATGAAAACCATGATGAGATGCTATCTTATACTTGCTAGATTGGCTGCTATTAAAAATATGAACAAAAATATAGGTAAGGATGTGGGGGAAGGGAAGGAATCCTAGTATACCTTCATTAGCACTATAAGGTAGTATACCCATTTTGGAAAGCAGTGTGAAGGTTCCTTTAAAAAAAAAAGTGGGCATTATACATTCAAAACAACTGAAAAGATTTACATGTTCTCACCACAAAGAAATGACTAACATGGGATACTAATGAGTCTCATTTGACCCTTCTATAATATATTCACATATTGAAACTAAACCCCCATAAATACATACAATTTGTCAATTAAAATTAAGGTGTCTAAAAGAAAATAATCTTATGATTGAGTTTTACCAGGAATATTTATTTTCCCTATTTATAATTAAGATATTTTTGTTTAGTTTGAAAATGTGTATTAGTTTCATTTTTGTTATGAGACATTTCATAAACACTTGAATTACAGTAAGAATGTAGTGTTTGAATGAAAAGTTACCTCAGCAGTTAGTGGTCCTCAGTATTAAGGTTGTTTATTTCAAAGATTTTTTTTTTCTTTGCCTAAAGGCAGATATTTTGCCAAATCGGTATTTATGGTCTGTAACTGTATTTATATGTATGTACATGAAAATTGGTACTGTAGCATGAAGTATTAAAAATTACCACCCGTCTTTTCTGTGTGTTTATTTTTAAGTTAGGAAGTTCATTATTAAGCTAAAATATTTAACATACCAGCAGGCATCCTTGTGTGGTGTATGCATGTGTTCATGTGTGTATGCATGTATATATGTTTGGTGGGCAGGTGTATGTGTGTGTGAAGGGCACGCATGCATGTGGAGACCATCAGTCAACAGTGGATCTCCACTGTATTTTTTTTTTTAATGCTATTACTGTACAGGTGCACGCTCTTATGGCATGATGTGCAAAAGACAACTTTTTAAATTTTTTTTTAATTTTTACACCCACTTTCCAGGTAGCACCCTCCCATAGCCTCCCTCCCCCAACTAGAGCCCTTATACTCTGATATCCCTGCTACTGAAAAGACAACTTTTAAAAAATTATGTTTATTTGTGTGTGTATGTGTGATTGTGTATGAGGACAGGGTGTCCTGTGGGAATCAGTCCTCTTCCTCTGTCATGCCTGTCTCAGGGGTCGAATTCCTGTTGTTAGGCTTGGTGGCAGGCACCCTAACCTGCAGATCTGCCTTGTGGGCCCCAGGAGAACAGCTTTCAGGACTTTGTTCTCCTTTCACCATGGGTTTGTCTAGTTGTTACTTTTTTTAAAAAAATTTATTATTTTTATTTTGTGTTTATGAATGTATTGCCTGCATGTATGTAAGTGTATCCGTGTCATGCAGTATCCTAGGAGGTCAGAAGAAGGTGTTGAATCCCCTGGAGCTGGAGTTACAGACAGTTGTTAGCCCCCATGTGGTACTGGGAATCGAACCTGGGTCCTCTGCAAGAGCAGTCAGTGCTCTTAACTGCTGAGTCATCTTTCCAGCCTTGTTCCTGGTACTTTTATCCACTGAACCTCCACCTTATTTTTTGAGATTCTCATTGAACCTTAGCTAAGACTAGGTGATCAGCAAGCCCCAGGGATCCTCCTGACTCTGCCTCCCCAGCACCACTTACAGGTGCATGCTGCTATGCTCAGCTTTATCTGAATTCAGGTCATTGTGCTTGCACTGCTAGCATGTTACTAATTGAGCTAGCTACCCAGCCCCAGAACTTACACTTCAGTTTGAAAGAGAAATGGTAAAAAGTAGGAAACTAGCATCAGATGTGGGTCTTGAGAGCTGCCGACTACTAGCACTTGAGTAATTTAAAGACACCCAGCTGGGCTGAAGAGATGGCTCAGTGATTAAGAACACTGGTTGCTCTTGCAGGGGACCCAGGCTCAATTCCCAGCACCCACATGACCTCCTCAGGCATTACATGACACAGGTGTACTTACATACATGTAGGCAATACATTCATATAAAATAATAACTTTTAAAAGACACCTGAGCTTCATGATCTAAAGAGAGGTGTTGCCTAGGCACCCTGGCCTGCCCCTGGCTCTCTGCCATCCAGTGGGAGCTCTGTGCAGTTTCTGTTGAGCTGACCTGGCACTTGTCCCTCTGCCCCAGCAGCAGAACCGCAAGGATTGCTTCATCCTAACCAGTCATGTGCAAGAAGTTGGCGTAACTCCAGGGCCTTCCCATTTTAGTGTGGGAACTAGGAGACACCCTCGTTTGAAGGTTCCAACTAGGAGCCTTATAGTCACCTCTGCCTTCAAACGGAGTCCCTTGACCTCGACGAATGTAAATTGCCTCTCTTACATGGAAATAGGGAGGAAGAGTCACTGGAGGAGGTCTTGCAGAAGCAGCTTGCTGAAGGGAAGAACGGCATCCAAGGAGGAGGAAGGCTCCTGTAGTTCAAGTGGTCTGGTTTGCTTGATTTTATTTGCAGGACATTGCAAGAGAAACTCCAGTCTTTGAAGTTCTTACAGATAATTGTTGAAAACACTATGTGTTCTGTGTCAAAAATGAACTTGTGGAGGCTTTGGCACACATTTTACAAGTGAGAAATTGTGTGTGTGTGGTGTATGTATGTGTGTTCAAGTGTGCATACATGCAGAGGCCAGGGGAGGATATCAGGTCCCCTGCTTTATCTCTTGCTCTGTTTTATTTCTTTGAGACAGGGTCTCTCACTGAGCTTGGAGCTAGCTGGCAGACAGCAAGCCCCAACAATCCTATCTCTGCCCTCCTTCCCTCCTCTCCACCCTCCAGCACTGGGTTTACTGGCACGTACAGGGCTGCACTCTTCTTTTTAAGTAGGTGCGGGGATCCAAAGTCAGTTCTTGGTGTTTATGTAGCAAGTGCTCTTACCTACTGAGCCATCTCGACCCTCTCTTGTTTTATGATCTTCAGATAGTCTCACTATGTAGCCCAGGTGGGACTAGAAATCAAGATCCTCCTGCCTCAGCCTTCCCGGTGTTGAGATTATGGGAATGGGCCATACACCAAGCCCTTTGAGAAACATATATCTCAGAAAAAACATTTTAATGTTTAAAAGACCCCCAAGAGAGCAGGACACGGTGGTTCTAACACAGTGCTTAGGAGCATATAGCATTTAGGAGGCTAAGGTAAGTGGATGTCAAATTTAAGATCAGTCTGGACCCTATTTGAGAATGAAAAAAGATTCAAAATCTCAAGATATCCAATTGTTTGTTAGGTTACTTGTACTGATTTGTTGTTGTTTGGACAGGGTCTCACTATGATAACCCTGGCTGGTGTGAAACTGACTCCTAAATTTGACTCTCCTCGAATGTGCAGTGAGTGCTGGGATTGCAGTCTGGGTCACCATGCCTGGCCTTACTTAAGATTTTTATTTTCTTGAAATGGCCTCATGAAGCCCAGACGGCCTCCAACTTGTGATGTAGTTAAGTCTGACCTTGAACTGATCTTCCTGACTCCACCTCCCAAATGCTGGGATTACAGATGTGTGCCTCCACAGTGGGCTATATTCATTAAAAACAACAATAACAACAACAATCAACCAACCAAAGAAACCAAATAAACACTCCAACTCCTTTGTATATATGAAAACTCTACCTATCCCTCCCTCGGTATCTATATCTGTCTATCATTGTGATGGATAGCTTTAGTGTCAACTTGACACACCTGGGTTGAGGGAGCCTCAGTTGGGGAATTGCCTCTATTGGACTGGACTGTGGCCATGTCTGAAGGGCATCTTCTTGATGAGTGATGTGGGAGGGCCAGCCCACTGTGGGTGGTGCCACCCCTGGGCAGGTGGGCCTGTGTTGCATAAGAAAGCAGGCTGAGCAGGGGCCAAGGGAGCAAGCCAGTAAGCAGCGTTCCTCCATGGCCTGTGCTCCAGCTCCTGCCTCCAGGTTCCTGCCCTGAGTTCCTACCTTGGGCTCCCTGATGAACTGCGTGTGACCTGGGAGATGTAAAACAAATAAACCCTTTCCTCCCCAAGCTGGTACTGGTCAGAGTGTTTTGTCACAGCAATGAAGAATCAAACCATGACAATCATCTACATGCATCTTCTAATCATCTATCATCTGATAAATTGTTCTTTAGATGAAAGGCCTTGTCTGAATGTTCAAGACTCTCTTATACTAACTATAGCCCTTCCTCTGTCTCTGGGCAGGAGCCACACAAATGGTGAAAATCCCATCAAACTTCTCCAGTCTGTTTAGGGATCATCCATCAGGAAGATGGCTTGACACCTTTAAAATAGTGGTGGAATACTGACTCTCCCCTGTAATCCCAGCACTAAGGAGGTAGAGACAGGGAATCTTGAGTTGGAAGCCAGTTTGGGATTACCCAGGGGGGCTCGTCTCAACAAAACACAAACAAATCAAAGCAATACAACAGGACAAGGAGTGTTATGATGTCAAGAGCCCTGCTACTTGTATCCTGAAGCTCTGTTTTCAAGCAAAACCACTGTGAGCCAGGTGACCCTGGGTGAGTTAATCTCTCTGAGCCACAGTTACTGGGAAATCAAGAGGCTCACATCATTAGGATCCTTATGGTTTGAATAAGAAAATGGGATGATACAGGGGTCTGAAGGACTTTTGCACAGGTGTGCCCAAAGAGCCCACTGGCTAGCTCCTTTCAGGCAGCGTGGGAAGGAACCAAACAGTTTGCAAAAAGAAGCAAGGGAGTGGCATTTAAAAAGAAAAACCTCCATTTTTCTGAACTATTCTCTCAGTATTTAGAAACATTAGTTCTAAGGGATAAGAGACATAGCTCAGTTGGTAGAATGCTTGCCTAACATGCGTGAAGCCCTGGGTTCCATTCTCCAGTACCACTTAAAGTAGCCGTGGTGGTCCACAGTTGTAATCCCTGTTCTTGAGAGGTGGAGGTAGGAAGATCAGGAGCTGAAGAGGTTATCCTCAGCTACATAGCAAGTTACAGGTTAGCCCTTGTCTAGAAAGAAAGGAAAGAAAAGGAAGAAAGGAAGGAAGGAAGGAAGGAAGGAAGGAAGGAAGGAAGGAAGGCAGGCAGGCTAGTTTTAAATCTTAACTGCTTAGACTTAAGGAAGGAAGGAAGGAAGGAAGGAAGGAAGGAAGGAAGGAAGGCAGGCTAGTTTTAAATCTTAACTGCTTAGACTCGGAAGTATTTTCTTGGAATGAGGATTCTCTATGCAAGCTGGCTTGCCCTATAGAGTCAGAGCTACTGATACAAACCTGGAAAGAGATGGGGGT